AATTGCTGATTCCGTACGTCTTCTTGACATGTTTCCTTCTTCCTTAGATACCAGATTTTCCTTCTAGATACTTTTTCCTTCAGTTTAGCTGGGCTGGGGCCATAGAGAGAATATTCACATGCAGTAATGCATGAAACGTCATGTTCATACTTTAATTTATGGCACAGATGGAATCAAATAATCTATATCCAGCTGAGCTCCAACTAGGTAAAGAGTTTTCACTTCTCATCTTTCATCACCTTCAAGAAATCAATCAGCAAAATGCAGAGATTTGGCATCTCCACAATAATATTTCTTCCAAGATAAACTTTTTGTATTAAGCAGGTTACAATTACAAGGGGAGTGTTCGGTGGTTCTTTTTAATGTATTTATTTGTTGTGCATTTCTTTTGTTTCTGTGTAAACTGAATTGTCTGTTTTTATTTTAGGTCTGTCCGTCTGGAAATGGATTAATAAAAACTATTAGGTGACTTTAAAAAATACAGGCAAGGAAAAAAGGCCAAGAGTTCAGACAATAAATTTTTATGGGAAAATGGATAAGTGTAAAACAAAATGTGTGGTCCATGCATCTCAACAAAATCCTTTGGCTAAGTACTTCAATTTCCATCTGTATAAAATAAGGTAACAAGTTCCATTTATCTTAGAGAGCAGATGAAAAGACTGCCAGTGAGGTATTCTTTCCATTCTTAAATTACTCTGTCAACTTCTTCAAATTCATAACAAGAAAAGAGATTCAGCTCTAGTCTGAGTATGTTCTCCAAATCAGACATCCAAGAGACCCCAAAATATATCTTTATTAAAGCTAACGTGTCTCAAATAATGGATTGAGGGCTCCTTGGGGCTCTCTTTTCCTAGTTTGAGACCCAAAACCCACTCCTTTTTAGCGCTGATGGTGTTACCTAGCTGGGTAACAAAACGTCTACCAAGAAAATAATCAAGTTTTCCTAATTAAGGTACTACCCAAAGAGAAAACTGCACCCTCACCAACACTGCTGAGGCAAACCACTTGTATATAAAGAGAGAGCAAACTTTCTAGCACTGATGATGTTACATGGCTGGGTCATGAAACATCTGCAAGAAAACCACCAAGCTCAGAGAGCACCAAGGACTCCTCAGCTGAAGTTCTCTAGTAAGTTAGTTCCCTCATCAACCCTACCCCGCCAACAACGGCAAGGTAAACCACTTGTACATAAAGAGAGAGCAAAGCCCCCCCCCCCAGCACTGATGTTGTGACCTAGTTGGGTCATGAAACGTCTGCAAGAAAGCTACCAAGATCAGAGAGCACCAAGCACCCCACAGTAACCTGAGCTACAAAAGTTCTCTTCTAATTGAGAAAGGATTTTGCCTCCAACTTTATATTTTTCACCACATAAATTAAATTGGCAGCCCTAAATTGAAGGGGCTCACCCTAAAAGTACCAATTTGTAGCTCTCTGCCATTAAACACCAAACCAGGATTTCCAATATCATTTCACAGACAGAATGAAAGCGACTATCCATTCTCCAAAGACAGGTGAGAGGTGGACGTTATCTCCACATGCCCACCCCGAAAAAGGCTTGCTGAAAACCCCAACCCAGAGGTGGTCTTCAGCAGGTTCTGACCAGTTCTGGAGAACCAGTAGCAGAAATTTTGAGTGGTTCGGAGAACCAGCAAATCCCGCCTCTGACTGGCCCCGCCCCCATCTCTTCTCCGCCTCCCATTGAGTCCCAGCTGATTGGCTGGGTCTTCTTTGGTTGCCCTGAAGAGGAAAACGGAGCTGGAAAGCAGGTTAGTGGGGTTGTGAGGGAATGGGGATTTTGCAATATCCGTCCCCTGCCACACCCACCAAGCCACACCCACAGAACCAGTACTAAAAAAAAATGAATCCCACCATTGCCCCAACCCAAAAATTTATTTTGCTTTCTTTGGTTTTCCTCTCAATTAAAAAAAAAACCTTACCAGTAAGAACAAGACTGCAGTGTTATCTGGCCGCAACCATGACATTAAATACACACACACACACACATGCACAAAATTTACTGAGGAAACATTTCTAGCGTCAACGGCTTTGATTTGAAAGTGAGCCGCTAATCTGGATTGGATTTTGTATAGGTGGAATTTTCATGAATGCCAGTTTCTCAACACCTGTGTCCTTAGCGCTGGGTCATGTTGCTGGATCTCAGGTTCCACAAGGCTATACTTTTCAAGAGAAATCGAAAGACAGAAGAAGGGAGGTTTTATGGGTAGATAATTTCAGAGCTATACTGAGATCACAGTTGTATCCTAACCACTATCTGGTCTGTGGTTGAAACATCCCTCTCATTCAGTTCTCTCGCACAGACACATTAAAGACAATTACAGGGCAAACTTTGAAAACATCCTGGAAAATAAAATCTGTCCACCGGCGGCCAGCAAGATACAATTACATCCACACTCCATTGTGCAGAGATCTCACAATGTACACAAAGCTCCAACGGTCCTCCTCTCATGGCCTCAGTTGGGACCGGGAAATGTGGTTGCTAAAAGCGATGTTGTTTTTAAACGAATCAATCCATGGAACCAGCTTCCCCCGTGTTATAATTGTTTTTACTCTGGTCATCAAAGAGAGCACACAGTCGTTAAGTGAAGCCAGTTTCCTCCATTGACTTGGCTTGTCAGAAGCTGGCTGGGGAGGTGACATGGTGGCAAGGCTTATGATGAACGTTTGCAGGAACTGGGCATGGCTGGTCTAGTGAAGAGAAGGACCAAGGGAGACAGGATAACAAATATTCCAATATTTGAGGAGCTGCCACGGAGAGGAGGGAGGGGTCAAGCCATTTTCCAAGGCACCCGAAGGCCAGACAAGGAATAATGGATGGAAGCTGATCCAGGAGAGATTCAACCTGGAAATAAGGAGGAATTTTCTGACAGGGAGAACAATCAATCCATGAATCAGAAGCTGCCTTCAGAAATTGTGGGAGCTTCATCACTGGAGGATTTCAAGAAGAGACTGTCAGAAATGGTGTAGGGTCTCCTGCTTGAGTGGGGGAGGTTGGACTAGATGACCTACAAGGTCCCTTCCGGCTCTGTTAATCTGTAAAGATATTGCAACTGTCCAAAATTTGAACCAGGTGCCAAAGACCCAAACTTCAGTCACGTAACCTGGGGAGTGGTACAACAGTGATAACTCTTGAGGATGGGCCATAGATCACTTTTCCAGAAGCTGTCATAACACTGAACAGTCATTAAAAATAAGGGAGTTGTAAGTCAAGGGCTATACTATGTACCTAAGGGAGGTAAAGCTGGTTTATCCATCGGATCCAGAGAAATTATGTTTTCACCAGAATAGAATGAATGAGCTGGAAGGGACCTGGGAGGTTATCTAGTCCAGCCCCTGCTCCAGCAGGAGGGACTGTACAGTTTGGGCAAGGATCCAGAAGAAAGAAGGAAAAGTGATTGTATTTCTATATATATAGGTAGTCCTGGACTCTCAGCCGTTCATTTAGTGACCATTTGAAGTTACAATGGCACTGAAAAAGGTGACATAGGCCCATTTTTCACACTTACGACCATTGCAGCCTCCCAAGATGAAAATTGGGCAACTGACTCATATTTATGACGGTTGCAGTGTCCCGGGGTCATGAGATCAGCTTTTGAGATCTTCTGACAAGCAAAGTCAATGGGGAACTTAACAACCATGTTACTCACTGACCAACTGCAGTGATTAATACTTAACAACCGTGCCCAGAATGGAACTCACCAAACAGTGTCTTGCTTATCAACATAAACTTGGAAACTCACTTGAAGTCCTACAACTACCTGTTTTGTCTTCCTGACCCCCATAAATACATTCCTCTCGGTCCTAACAACCATTCTTTCAATGCATTATTCTAACATGATATTATTTATTTGCGGGTCAAAATGGGACAACACCCCCAAGGACGTTTGATCCGAACAAGCATTTGCTGACGTTAAACAGGTCAAGACAGGAGGCGGTTTCTATGCATCACCTTGAATTGCCCTACAGAACAAAAATAAAATGCAAATATAATAAAGGAACGAAGCTGCCTTGTCGATACTTTCCTAGAATTCTTCGTTCAAAACAGCAGCCCAACCAGACAAGCTGGCTTACTGCAGACTATTTTAACCCAATGCATAAAGGCTTTAAAATGTTGTTTTTTTTTCCCTAAATGCACATTCTACATCGAGGCTAATACAGTACCGCTCACCATAGAATTTATCCCAGGAACAACACAGCACAAAAACAGATGCTGGGAATGTAACTACCAAATAACACGGTGATACTTATAAAGTAAATAAAAGCAGGATACGTTTTTTCAAAAAATCAAAAAGTAAATAAATGCCCATTGGGAACATGGGAATCGCAGTTCCAATACAGGTAGTCCTCGACTTAAGACCAAAATAGGGTCCAGAATTTATTTTTGCTGAGAAAGATTTCGTTAAGTGAGTTTTACGACTTTTCTTGCCGCATTTGTTAAGTGAATCATTGAAGTTCTTAAATTAGTAACCTTGTTGTTAAGTGAATCTGGTTTTTCCCCATTGACTTTGCTTGTCAGGCAAAGGGGGATCACATATCCCCCCCAGGGACACTGCAACGGTCATAAATATGAACCAGTTACCATGCATCTGAATTTGGATCATGTGACCAGAGGGAGGCTGTAATGGTTGTAAGTATGAAAAAATGGCCACAAGTCACTTTTTTCAGTGCAGTTGTTAACTTTGAATGGTTGCTAAACGAACTGTCGTAAGTCGAGGACTACCTGTGCGTCTAATTCAGGAGTGTCCAACCTTGGCCCCTTTTTGAGACTTGTGGACTTCAACTCCCAGAATTCCCCAGGCAACTGGTGAATTCTGGGAGTTGAAGTCCACAGGTCTTAAAAGTGGCCAAGATTGGACACCCCTGATCTAAGTTGGAGAAGACAACGTAGACATTTTTTTGAGTGTGTGTGTGTGTGTGTGTGTGTGTTTATTACACAGGTGACAGCATTATTAGTCAAAACTGAACCATCAATGAACTCTTACTTTTCTGGCAGTGGTTGGAAGTCCAGCAGCGGAAGCTGTATTCATTATTTATGGAAGTCTTCTCACACAGCGGCTTCTCCTCCGCCGTTCCTGGACACAAATCCCCACATTCTTTTGGCGATTTATTTCCTATAATGTAGTTATTGGAAACAGCATCCAAGATCAGAGACCAGTCCACCGTGGAAAGGTAGCAGAGGTCCGAATTCTTCTCGATCCGGATGGCCCCCCGAGTGATGTTTCTCAAGTTGTACAACCCAATTTCCTTGAGGTTGGTCATCTCGAAGATGACCAGCGCGTAGTTGTAGAAAAGGCTCTTGCCCCGAATCACTGTCAGGTTCGGAAAGAGATCGCTGAGGGTCTCCAGGCCAGCCACGCGGAAAAGCAACAGATAATCGACGATCATCGTGAGCTTCGGGAAGCGGTAGTTGCTAAAGTCCGCTCCTTGGTTGATCAACAAAATCTGGAGATATCCTTCCACCACCGTGCAGCCCTCCAGTTGCTTCAATTCCTCCATACTGTTGCGGATGTCGATGTCTGGCCCACAAACTGAGGGGGGGAACGACAAAAAAGTGGGTTTTAAAATGGCTCAAGTCATGTTAGAAATGCAAACATACATCGACTTTTCATCGGGCACGAATGAGAAGGTCCACAGGGAAGGTTCAATTAGACTACTTTATTCCTAAAAGTCTACACACAGGAATCTTCTCAACTTCCAGCTGCTTGGGGTTAAGATACCGGTCAACGGAATTCAAGGGAGGTTGGGCTTAGTCCATTTGTGGCTACATAGGGATTCTAGGCCGATTCCTCTTTCAACTCCGCTTCCAGGTTCTCCTCCTACACTTTCCTTCCAAATCTAACTTTAGCACAACATTTCTTTGGTACCAGAAGAAGATTCCAACCAAATGTCCTCTGAGACTATAGTCTGATACTCTGAATATCAGATAACTTGCTAAGATAGGTGTACGGTAGATGGGTCATGTGAGCATTTTACAACCTCCAGCCCACATGTGACCCATTGGCTATCCCAATGTGAGGTCAATCGAAAATTAGAAATCAAGTGTAAATAAGCGTTCGCCGTGCACACAATAAAATTATGTTTATTTTATTCATCTATGTATATAAAAGTGAAATACCATTCACGCATCATTACAAAATCTCCAGAACCGTAAAGCCTACAAACTTGAAATTTGACACGTATGTTCCTCTTGGCTTCTAGGTGATCACTAAGAAAGGGTTTTTTCAGAAATGACCAGCAAAGCACTAGCATTTCCTATATTATTATTATTAACACACTCTGATGCTAAGGAGTTCTACTCCCCTTCCCCACCTGAAAAGAAATCTCTTCCAAATGCAAAACACAAGCAGAGGAGAGGAGGTTCAGTTTCACAGCACCAAGCAGCTTTAGTACAGAACAGTTGAGCTAAGCCATGCCCAGGCTCCTTGCTGTCTCCTTTTTGCTCACACAGCAAATACTGTTTTAGTTTCCAAATAGACCTCAACTCTCTCACACACCAGACAGGACGCTAGCCAGATGAATACCGATGGACGCTGGTAGGCAGAGGCAGAATTTTTCCCTTATTATTTTCCTCCCCCAAACTAAGCCCAACCAGAGTTTCATAGAGAAGCACAGGTATCCAGCTAGTTTTGAATGAAATGCTATTGTGACTGCTATTTTTTTCCCCCAATTTATATACATGCATGCCTACGTATCTTCAAAGCCCCCTTGGTTTGGTCAGCCACCACAGTCCCAGTTTTGTCATATTTATAATAGCACATTATACTAAACTATAAGCCATAATTTTTAAACACTCAATAAATGGATCCACTCAACATACAACTAACCTTCAGTATTATCATTACAGCTTAATGCTGTTTGGAAAAGGCAGGAAACAATCCCTGGAATTTGGAGCTAAAGAGTCTTCAAGATCATACTTAGCAATGGAGTTCTTCTTCCACCAATAAAGACAACTTTATAAGGACACTTGCCAGTACTTACTTTGCTAATATTCTCCTCTTTAAACAACTCAAGACTTTACGATGTATATATGAGGGCTTTCGCCAACTAAAATGAAACTACTCATTAATAGCAATAGCACTTAGACTGATATACCGCTTCACAGTGCTTTCTTTCCAGGCCAATCTAAGCAGTTTACAGAGTCAGCCTCTGGCCCCAACAATCTGGATCCTCATTTTACCAACCTCGGAAGGATGGAAAGCAGAGTCCACCTTGAGCTGGTCAGGATCGAACTCCTGGAGTGAACAGTGTGAGTTAGCCTTCCGTACTGCATTCGAACCACTGTGCCACAACAGTTCTTAACCCATAACGTGGTTTGGTTTCAGTTCAACATCGTATGCAAATGTTAGCAGCCACAATTGGGACCGGCAATTATGTCACTAAACAAATGCAGCTCCTAAGAAGAAAACTGTTGATTGCAACTTTGATAAAAGACCTTCACATCTCAAGGGCTGGATATCCGTAAGAATCTTCCCACCCAACAGTTTCCTGCTATCTATAGGAATCCCCCAGAACAGGTCTTCTTAGTGATGGCCCCCTTGTTTTGCCCTGTATGAAGAATGGCTCTGAGCAAAAACTGGGGATGTCTAGTCTAACGAAGAGGAGGACTAAGGCGGGTGTACTCCGCCTTCGGTCCGATCTAAGTATAGTATATAAAATCATACATTGCAATGTCCTACCTGTCAATCAATACTTCAGCTTCAACCATAACAACACAAGAGCACACAATAGATACAAACTCAAGGTTCATCGCACCAAACTTGATTGCAGGAAATACGACTTCAGCAACATTGGGGTCAATGTCTGGAATACTCTACCTGGTTCTGTGGTTTCTTCCCCAAACCCCAAAAACTTTAACCTTAGACTGTCTGCTATTGACCTCACCCCCTTTCCTAAGAGGTCTGTAGGGGGCGTGCATAAGCGCATTAACGTGCCTACCGTCCCTGTCCTATTGTTTCTTTTATTCTTCTTATATGTATCCATGTATTCATAACTATGTTTTTACTTATGCCTATTATCTTGTAAGCAATTGACAAAAATAAATAAATAAATAAACCCTGCAGCTCCAGAGCCTCGTGTGGTTCTTCGGGCCCTCTGCTGTGGCTCACTGGCTGGCCCCGCCCCTCGCCCTCCCCTGCCAGTCACTCCTCACCTGGCTGAGAAGGTAAGAGAGAGGAGAACAGAGAGGAGGGAATGGGGAGAGACAGAGAGGGGGGGGGAAGGAGGGAGAGAGAGGGGGAGGGAGGAGAGATACAGAGGGAGGAGCGGGAGGGAGGGGAGGGAGAGATACAGAGAGGGGGGAAGGAGAGAGGGAGGGAGAGAGGGAGAGAGATAGACAGGGAGAGGAAGAGGGAGGGGGAGGGAGGGAGGAGAGAGATACAGAGAGGGGGGAGGGGGAGATACAGAGAGGGGGAGAAGGAGAGAGAGAGAAAGAGGGAGGGAGGGGGAGGGAGATACAGAGAGGAGAGGGAGAGAGATAAGGGTTTAGTGGTTCCCAGTGTTTTTTAACAACTGATTCTCTGCCCTCATGACCAGCGGAGTAGGCGTGGCTAGGGGATCATGTGACTGGGTGGGAGTGAGTGACATCGAGTTGGCCACACCCACCCAGGTTTCGTAGCTCCCGTTGTTGTTGTTGTTTTCTGTGGGAAACGGGTCCAAATGGTTCTTTGAGCGTCTAAGGTTGCAGATCCCCAGACTAGGGTGACATGATAGCAGTGATTCAATATCTCAGGGGCTGCCCCAAAGAAGAGAGGGAGTCAAGCTATTCCCCAAAGCCCCTGAAGGCAGGACAAGAAGCAACGGGTGGAAACTAATCAAGGAGAGAAGCAACCTGGAATTAAGGATAATTTTTCTGACAGTGAAAACAACGGACTTTATGACCGTTTTTCACACTTAAACATCTCCTTAGTCACGTGAACAAAATTTGGATGCTTGGTAACTGGTTCATATTTTTGACGGTTGCAGTGTCCTGGGGTCATGTGGTTCACCTTTTCGCGACCGTCTAACAAGTCAATGGGGAAGCCAGATTCACTTAACAACCATAATGTAATGGCTGCCACGATTTGTTTAATGGTGGCGAGAAAGACCGTAATGTGGGGTGAAGCTCATTTAACAAATGTCTCACTTAGCAACGGAAATCTGGGGGTCCATTATGGTCGTTAAGTCGAGGACTACCTGTAATGGTTTGGCATTAGGCTAAAGCAGAGCCAAAGAAGCCAGCATCAATCAAGCCAGCTACAAATTACGATTCGGTTGACTTTTGTTTCTTGGTCACAAAGCCAATACAACCATTGCTGGATTCACATGAACTCCTTAATGGAGAGAATTACCCTCTTGAATCTCACGTGTCATGTGTGAATCCAGCCATTTCTGCTCCTAACCCCAAATTTTTGCCTTAGTTTTGTGTCCATATAGCTCTCTGCGATTTATCCAGTAAACCATAGTTTAATGGGAAATATGAACTGGGGCGACATTGGGAGAGTGAGTAAGAATTCATCTAAGAAAATCAGTTCTCGGTTTTCTAACAGTTTAATAAGCCTTTTATTCCCCAGGAGCAAAGCTTTGGCTTACGGAGAAATTGAATTTAGAGGTTTTAAAAGAAGTTCGTCTGACGGTTTAATAAGATTTGAATATTTCTTATAATAAATCATATCGAACATTCACCCTTGTATCTTTATCTAGTAGCCAAGTTCACTTTTCTGGGTCTTGTTTTTCTTCTATAAAAAAAAAAAATTCTTCCATTCAACTCTAGTTAATGACTGCCTAATACGTCAGTTCTTATTTTTGTGTATTTTGCCTTGAAATTAACGTAATAAAAAGACAATCTAATCCTTGTTCAAAGAGTGCTAGAGTTTCTTTTTGGCTGCCGCGTGTTTTCATTGGACTGTAGTTTACGCACACACACACACACACACACAGGTTCGAGTGTACAGCATACACACATACCCCATGATGTGTCTTCCAAAGCATAAAATCAAACATGTTATTCATTCAGCCTTTCATGTAAATTCTCTGTAATTTTCTTCTCACCACTAAGTAATTCTCAGAGTTTTCACTACACATGGTTGCTTTTCTCCAACATGGTGCCCCCTTTTAGATGTGTTCGATTTTGATTTTCACCAACAACTCCAGCACCAAAAGACAATAAATCAAGGGAAGCAAATTTATCATATCTAAAATAACCCTAAATTTGCAGCACAGCGTTTTAAATTCTTTCAGTGTTACAGTTCCCAGTGAAAATTATGTCTTTCTAAAGCTCCCCCTTTTATTTATTTATCCACTGTATATATGGCTCGCCCAAGTGATTTCTGGGTTGACAAGGAAAATTAAAATAAAAACAACTACAAAGATTACAAAAGCTTAACTACAAATCAATTTTTGAAGCTCAAGACAATAGCCGTGTCTGCATTTGATAGGTTGGTTGAACATCATACTAAGCCATTATTTAGCACATAAACCACAATAACTAGTTCGCACAACACGCTCAGACCCAACAGACGTGACCATATTGTCGTTTCATGTAGTG